GCTCGGCCGCTGCCGCACGGCCTTGTCGCCGCCGCTGGGGTGCACCGTGGAGTGCGCCACGAGCACGCGCACCACGGGGCCGTAGGCGGAGAAGTGCCTCTGAAGGGGCCCCAGGACACACAAATGAATGCACACAAATAAAACAATTCCCCATCTTTTCCCATTTTTTCTGGGTTTCTGTCTTCCCGCCCACTTCCCATATTTTCCCGTATTTTCTGGGGGGGGATCGACGATTCATTGTGTCTGTGTGTGTTTTTTTCCCTCCTGAGCCTCTTCAGCTTGCGCACCGCCTTGAAGCCCAGCTTGTTGATGCGCCGCACGATCATGAGGCAGCTGGGGTCCTCGCTCGAGAGCAGCTCGAGGGAGGACGACAGGGTGTGGCACGCGCTCCGCCTCAGGGGAACGAGCAAGGGCATGAACTTAAAAAAAAACTCGGAGGTCCGCGCGGGGGGCCCTGTAGCGCCGATCCGACAAATCCGCGCGGACCTCCGAGTTGTTATGTTTGTGCCGTTCTTCGTTCGGGGGCCACCTGCGCACCCCCCCCCCTACCCCCCCCCACGATTTCTGCGGGGGAGGGGGGGCTTCGCTTCGCTCGGGAGCTCCCGAACGTGGTGAACCCCCACCCCGTCCTCCTCAGAAATCATTGGGGGGGCAGGGGTGGGGCTCGCATGTGGCCCCCCATTCGTCCCCCTTGAGGAGGAGGAGGAGGAGGAGGAGGAGGAGGAGGAGGAGGAGGAGGAGGAGGAGGAGGAGGGAGGAGGAGGAGAGGAGGAGGAGGAGGAGGAGCTTGTGCCTGTCCCTCTCGGGCTGCATCTCGTCGGCCGTCTCGGGCGCTGGAGCGCGGCGCTCTCGCGCGGCGCCGGCGCCGCCCGCCGGCCCGCCGCCCGGGGCCGCCCCCCGGCGCGGGGGCGGGCGGTCGCCCCGGTGCGGGCCCGCCCGGGAGGACGGGGCCTGCTGCGACGCGGGCGGCGCGGCCTGCGGCAGGGCTGGAGCCACACGCTGTGCTTCCTCGTCGTGCTTTTTTGCGCTCGGCTCTGCCCGTTCTTGCCTGTGTAGACTCTGGTCCTGTCCAGTTCTTCGAGGGTTCTTGGACTTTTTTGTTTTTTGGGGGGGCCAGGGTCTTGGATCTTTGGAGGGTCCTGGGCCTCTTCCTGGCCAGCAGGGGGCCAGGAACAATTAGAAACGAGCACAGCTAGAAATGAACCCAATAAGACATGAACGACGTGTACCTCCCTCCCCCCCCAAAAAACAAGGCACAGCCGAAGCCCCAACAGAACAGCGTTTAGGTCCAGCCCTGGCCTGCGGGTCGCCCCGCTGCAGCATCTGGGACATGCGCTGCATCAGGTCCCTGGCGTCCTCGGGAGCGGGAGATCGGCTACACGCAAGAGTGACCTTGGGTATAATGGGTATAAGAGTGACCCTTGATGCGCGACTTTCGGGGAGCCGCGGAGGGGCCTAACCCAAGCGCGCAAGCCACGCCTATCGCACTGTACTCGGCGCTCGGGGACCCCAGTGGGCCCGCACCAAAGGTCACTTCGGCGAAAGGTTACACTTACGTGTAGTCGAGGAGAAGAGCAAGCTGCACAGGCGCGTCACCTCTCGGATGTCGGCGCGGATCTCCTGGCTCGGCGCCAGACTTCTCTTTTTCGGCGCCGCCGGCGCCGCCCCTGGCGCGCTCCGCGCGGCAGGGGAGGGGACTCTGGCGCCGATGCAAGCAGTCCGCGGGGACTTCCGAAAAGTTCGGCGGATGAAATATTCGCTAATTGGGCTTTGCCTGAAGGGCTCCTAAGTGTTTGTGAAACGACGGGTGGGTGCGGGGTCCTTGGTCTGTGGCGCTCCCGTGTATTGCCCTTGTTTGCCCGTGCAATGCCACGCGCTGCGAAGCAACGCCAAGCAATGCCAATGAACGCCGAGCAAAACCAAGTAACGATTGCAACCAACGCCAAGCAATGCCATGCACAGGCACCGATTAGAAGCAACGCGAATCAATATCAAGCAATGCAATCCTAAAAATGCCAATCACTGCCAAACAATACCAGACACTGCCAAGCAATGTAGCACAATACCAAACAATGCTTTGAATCGCATTGCTCAGGACTGCTTCGAAATTGCGTTGGAAGAAGTCCCGGATTGGTTGGGGTCGCGCCATGCTCATCTCTGCTCCCTTGAGTCCTGGTTGCCGAAGGAGCCCGACGAGCCAGATCCCACGGGCTTCGTCGCGCGCAGGTGGCGCAGCTGGCACAGGAGGATCTGCTGTTGCCTCGGGATCTGGGCCCGCATGGTCCGGGCGGCGGCCAGGTGCGGCATCTGCAGGAACACGCCCCCCGCGTCGCAGGTGCTGGCGATCATCTTGTCCAGGGCCCTCGCCTGAGGTCGGGAATGCCTTCCTGCATACGGTTCCTGCTTTGAAGAAGCATGGAGAAGAGCCACACAGTATTCGAAACCAGGCAACACTTTTTTGTTTTGCGGGTCGAGAGCGAGCCTCTTCATGTTAAAAGCTAGGCGGGCTACGCAAAGCTCTAATTGGGGAGACAAAGCACAGGCGGGCGGGGCCTCAGGCGGCTGGAGGGCGGGCCGCGGTGCAGGCGGTGCCGAGGAGCTTGCACAGGAAAGGAACGCCTTGGACAGGAGCCGGAGGCGGAGATCCGGAGGGTGAGCGGTGTGGTGTTGCCACGAAGCCAGGCAACACAAATAGTCGAGGAATCGTCCCCAGACTGTTATCCTGCCTACGTTGAGCTTCTCCCCCCGGAGGGGCACGCCCGACGGAGCCCCCGCCTGCTGGAGGTTCTCGATGCCGCGGTCGAAGATCCGCAGCGCCTCCCGCAGGCCCTCCGCGCTCAGGTGCGGCGCCGTCGCGAGCACCGCGCTGACCCACTCGCTGGAGCTGTCGCAGTCCTCTCCGCTTCCATCGGGCGTGTCCCCCCTACAGAGGGGGGATTTGGGGCGACAAATGGAAAATGCTCAAAGAAGACTCCCCACAGAATTACCCAAAAACAATCAACACGTCGTCCCTGGACTATTTTTGGACTATTTTTGCATATTCCCCCTGTAGAGGGACACGCCCGACTTAACTCTTCGCTGGATGCCCGAGGTGGGCACGGAACGAACGGGCACGACCGAGGGGGCCCTGGGACACGCAAATAAATAGACACACAGCCAAGGATCCACCGTATTTTTTCAAATATTTTCTGGGTCTTCGTCTTCCCCCCCCACCTGTTCATATTTTCCTACATGTTCCTGGGGATCGATGATTCATTGTGTCTGTGTGTTTTTCCCCTCCTGAACGATGCTCAAACGCAGCTATTGCTCAACGCGGACGGCAGCCGCTGTTTGGCAGGGGGGTATGGAACGAATGGGCACGGTTTACGTTGCTCCCATCGCACTTGAGGACCACATCCCAGACATCAGTTCGAGCACCCAGAAAGAATATCGAAGCAGTGTCGGACGACGGTCGCCTCCCAGGGCCCGACACGTGAACACATTCAAGCTTCGGTGCTCTCTTGGCGCGCGAACATCTTTCTGGTGGTCAAGGCGAAAGCAGGTTGGAACATCATAAAGTGCAATGCCTAACCGCAATGATTGCCCAACGCTGACGGCAACCGCTGTCGGGCAGGCGGCCTTCGGCCTCAAAGGGACAACGTCCGCAGCGACGCAGACAGCGACCCCGCTTCAAAATGGACGAGAACTGCTGTCGGTCTTCGGGCCGCCGCTCGGGAGGACCCAGGCGCCCCGCCAACGCTCTCGGCGAGGCCCGGGCCGCTGGAAGGCACCCCGAGGCTGGAACACCGCCGAGAACCGACGAACGCGCCCGAAGACCCGAGGCAAGAACTGCTGCCGGTCTTCGTGCCCAGCCTTCCCGTCCCCATCTCTGACGGAAACGGGCCCCGGACCCTGGGGCCCTCCCCAGGACCAGTGCTTCATCCTCGGCCTTTTTCTGCCACTCCCGGGGCCCGGGAAAAGGGCCCCAGGAGGCCGAAGAGGCGAAAAACAGCGGGCCCTCCCTCAGGACCCGTTTCCAGCCCATGGCGAGTGGGGCGTGTCGGGGAGCGCAGCTCGCGGGATCGGAGGTCGACGCACCTGGCGGCTGACAGTGGTCTGCCAGCGGTCTGGGGGACTACCTCGCAGGTCAGCAAGTCCCGAGGGCGGGACGGGGGGTGGGAGTCAGTGTGCAGTGGGCCGTGTACGGCAGGTTCGTGTCGTGCCGACCCTGGCGTTGGTCCCTGACGCCGCGGGAAGCATTCAACCTTGAACGATCGGTAATTTACCAGGCGCCCGATCGTTCAACATCGACCGATGATGGGTCGCCGGCGGCATTCAACCTTGAACGCCCGCGCTGGGGTCGCCGCTGGCCGACACGATGCGAACCTACCGTAGACGGCCAGCGGCCAGAATGGGATGACCCGTCTTCCCCACGGCGAATTGCTCGGGGTCCATCCAAGCCCGGGGAAGGAGGAGGAGGATGAAGAAAAGGAGAATGAGGAGGAGGAGGAGGAGGAGGAGGAGGAGGAGGAGGAGGAGGAGGAGGAGGAGGAGGATGAAGAAAAGGAGGAGACGGAGGCGGAGGAGGAGGAGGAGGAGGAGGAGGAGGAGGCATGAGGAGGAACAAGAGGATCAGGAGGAGGGAGCAGAAGCAGGAGGAGCAGGAGGAAGAGGAGGAGGAGGAGGAGAGGAGGAGGAGGAGGCGGAGGCGGAGGAGGAGGGGGCTGCAGGGAACCTCCAATAGATCCGCCCCGCGCACCTGTCGTGCGCTCCATGCGCCCCCCCCCCCCCCCCAACCCACAGGGACACCTCCACCTGCGGCCCCCCGTGGGTGTGGGCGTCTGCGCCCGCGCGGATCGGCAGAGGAGGAGGAGGCAGAGGAGGAGGAGGAGGAGGAGGAGGAGGAGGAGGAGGAGGAGGAGGAGGAGGAGGAGGAGGAGAGGAGGAGGAGGAGGAGGAGGAGGAGGAGGGGAGGGGGAGGGGGAGGAGGACAAGCTAGGTGCGCTCGCGTCATATCTGACGTCCTACCCCTCCCTCCCATCCCTTACCATGGCGCTGATTTTCTCTATCCGCGGACGCGTGTCGTAGCGGACCTGTGGCTCCGCGCGCGCGTGCGTAGTGGGTGGTGGTGCGCGTGCGTGCGTGCGTGCGTGTGTGCGTGGTTGTGGTTGTGGTGGTGGTGGTGGTTGTGGTGGTGGTGGTGGTGGTGGTGGTGGTGGTGGTGGTGGTGGTGGTGGTGGTGGTGGTGGTGTGGTGGTGTGTGTGTGTGTGTGTGTGCGTGTGTGCGCGTGTGCTGTGGTGTGACGTGGTGTGGCGTCTTGGTGGTTGTGTGGTGGGCCAGGTGCGTGCGTGCGTGATGGCGGTGGTGGTGGTGGTGGCGGTGGTGGTGGTGGTGTGTGTGTGTGTGTGTGCGTGTGTGTGTGTGTGTGTGCGTGTGTGTATGTGTGTGTGTGTGTGTGTGTGCGTGCGTGTGTGTATGTGTGCGCGCGCGTGTGATGTGGTGTGACGCGGTGTAGCGTGGTGGTGGTGGGTGGGGTAGTGGGGTGGTGGTGGCGGTGCGCGTGCGTGCGTGCGTGCGTGCGTTGGTGGGTGGAAGTGGCGGTGGGCGGGGCGGGGCGCGGTGCGGTGGTGGCGGGCGGATGGGCGCGCGAGAAAGAGGCCCGCGCTAGGGCGAGAACGCCATCCTGAACGACGGAGGCAAACCACCGATCCGAAAATGAGACCCACGCTGCAGCGGGAGCACGATTCGGAACGAGCGGGGCCCGAAAATGAGGCCGGCGCCTCAGCGAGAGCAGCATTTTGGAAAAAATGCAGGCGAAAACCCAACTCCCAGGAATCCTGTGTGTAAAAAAAGCAGGGCGCGGGGGGGGGGGGCGAACACTCCCAGCACGTCATCAGGGGAAGGAGGAGAGTAGTATTCATATTGAGTAATTGTGGAGGGGGAGGAGGAGGAGGAAGAGGAGGAGGATCCTTCCCGTCCCTTGAGCCCCGCCTTCTCGTCGTCGTCGTCGTCCTCGTCCTCCTTGTCTTCCTTGTCTTCCTCGTCGTCCTCGTCGTTGCCGTCGTCGTTGCCGTCGTCGTCGTCCTCGTCTTCCTCGTCGTCGTCGTCGTCGTCGTCGTCGTCGTCGTCGTCGTCGTTGCCCCGATCCTGCGGCAGGTAGGCCCGCAGCGCGGCGGCCGCCCAGTGCGCGGCGCCCGGCAGCGGGGCCGCCGGGCCCGCGGGGGCCTCGGCGAAGGGCGGGGCGGCGCCGGGCAGGCCGCGGGGCGGGGCGGCGCCGAAGCCGAGCGCGTCCACGGCGCTCGCCTGCAGGGGCACCTGCGCGGCCCGGCGGCGCGGCGGCACGACGACGGCGGCGGCGGCGGCGACGACGAGGACGACGAGGACGAGGACGAGGACGACGGCGAGGACGAAGACGACGGCGACGACGACGACGACGAGGACGAGGACGAGGACGACGGCGACAGGACGACAGGACGAGGAGGACGAGGACGAGGACGCGGGCGAGGACGGGGACGAGGTCGAGGCCGACGACGACGACGACGATGATGACGACGACGACGAGCGGGGGTCGGCCAGTCCCCATTGCTCGTCCCCTCTTCTGGTTGACCCCAAAGAGGGTCCAGCGAAGAAGGGTTGTGCAACATATTCGGTGCAATCGACTTGTGGGGTTGCAATAGATCTGGGGCGAGCAATGCATCCCGGGGCGCAGATGTATTGCCGGATTTCCGCGTGCAATGCACGAGTGACAGTGCAAAGCAATACGGTTCTCTGGCGCGATGCATTTGCAATACAATAGTCCCGCATCTATTGCACCGCCCCATTTCAGCTGGACCCCCTTTTGGGTCACGGGGAGGGGGTGTAGGGGAGGGGAACTTCGTCGGAACGATCCGGGGCCATGACACCCGATTGCAGGGCCACTGGGCTGGATCAGGCCAGAGGAAGCCCAGGATTGAGCCATGTAAGCGGGGTCTAGCCGGACCCAGCGGGATGGAACGTGATAGTGTGGGACTGAGCCAGACTGGGCCGATTTCCGACCAGGGATATACCAGCGCCGATTCTGCATGGAACCTCCAGGAGTTGCATCCTGATTTGGCGGCGCGCGCCAAGGGTTAGGCAGGTATGGGGGAGGGGGGCAGGGCTTCTTACAAGGAGGCTGCCTCTAAGAAGGCGCAGGTCCTACATCTATATAGTTGAGGCCCCGTGCCTTCTAAGAAGCAGCCTCCTTCTAAGACGCCTTCTCTGCTTCCCCCTAATTACAATGGAGGCCAATCCACAAGAAACCTTCCGCAAGAGAAACCCAACCCTGAGACCCCAGGACGACCACTGCTTTCGGGTGTGGGAACGTCGCGCGTCCCATGGCAAAGCCATCGACACCCAAGAGACCCAGGGCACCCTGGAGGGGAACGAACAATCACATAAACATAAAAACTCTGAGGTCCACGCGGATTTCTCGGATCGGCGCTGGACCCCCCCCCCAGGCGCGCGGAGCGCGCCAGGGGCGGCGCCTGAGGCGCCGCCAGGGGGCCCCAGCGCCGATCCGAGAAATCCGCGTGGACCTCCGAATTTTTATGTTCATGTCATTGTTTGTTCCCCTATTCTCGGCATGGGCCTCCACTGCACCCCCCATTCCTGCGCGTGGCCGACCTTCATCGGCACGCGCTCGTCCATGCCGAGGCCCGGCGGGGGCGCCGCGGGCGTGGCGCGCGGCGCGCTCTGCGGCCGCATCGCGGGCACGGGGGCCCCGAGGTCCTGGCGTCGAAACGGCTGGAGCGGGAGGCTCTATAAGGGTCGCGGGCGCGGCGGGAGACCTCCTCGGGACGCGGGCCGGCGCCTCTGGCCCCAGCTCTCCTGGGGGAGGAGGAGGAGGAGGAGGAGAAGGAGGAGGAGGAGGGGGAGGAGGAGGAGGAGGAGGAGGAGGAGGAGGAGGAGGAGGAGGAGGAGGAGGAGGCGCGGGTCAGGGCGAGGGCTCGGAGGTGCACGGCGGAGGCCAGTCCACGGGAAGCCTTCCGCGAGAAGCCCGGCCCTGAGACCCCAGGGCGTCCGTTGGCTTTTGGCGTGGGAGCGTCGCGCTGTGTGTCCATGGCAGAACCATCGAAGCCCAAGGAGCCCAGGGCACCCTGGAGGCAAGCAGGGTGCTTCTTGGCATGGGCCCCCACTGTGCACGAGCGCGTTGTCAGGGGGTGGAGGCTCACGCGCCGCGGGGGTGCGAGTCCGCCAGACCTGATAAGAGTCTGCGCATCAGGGCGCGCGCCTGCCCGCCTACCCAAGATCCCCTCGCGTTGAAGGGAGGCAAGAACAAAAGCACGAACACAAACAAAAAAAAACAAGCACAAGCACAAGCACAAACTCAAACACAAGCACAAGCACAAGCACACACACAAACACACACACACACACACAGTGGAACAAAAACACAGCCTGCGCGCCTGCGCGGTTTTTTCCACAGAGTGTGCGTATGTGTGTGTGTGTGTGTGTGTGTGTGTGTGTGTGTGTGTGTGTGTGTGCGCGCGCGCGCGCGCGCGTGTGTGTGTGTGTGTGTGTGTGTGTGTGTGTTCGTGTTTTCCATACTGTTTTTTCCCAGAGAGAGTGTGTGTGTGTTTCCCACAGAATGCATCCATGATGCAGCAGCGATGCTTCAGTGAATCCTCCCCCGCCCTGCGTGTCCTCCCCGTGAGGCCCTGCGCAAGCAGTGACCCTTGCCAAGATGAGCGCCCCGCGGGCCCGTGGGCCTGCCGCTCAGGCGCGAGCCCCGTGTCGGCAGGTGGAGGAGGAGGAGGAGGAGGAGGAGGAGGAGGAGGAGGAGAGGAGGAGGAGGAGGGAGAACGGAGGAGGAGGAGGAGGAGGAGGAGGAGGAGGAGGAGGAGGAGGAGGAGGAGGAGAGGAGGGAGGAGGAGGAGGAGGAGGAGGAGGAGGAGGAGGAGAGCCCCGGAGCTGCCTTCCATCCTTCCAGCGATCAAGACAAAGCGGGGAGGTCGGATCAGAAAGTCCGAGGGGCCCCGCCCGCGAGAGCCCCGCTCTGACAAAAGAGCCGACGCCCACCCGCAGAGCAGCTGCGCGAGCGTGCACCTCGTGAGAGAACCCCACTCTGAAAAGAGGCCGCCCTCCACCCGCGCACTGGCTGCATGCTTCTCCCAGCGAGGGCCCCTGCTTTGAAAGGGTGCTAGGCCTCTATCCTTGTAGCCGCTGCAAGCTGTGAAGCGACTGCGCACGGCGCTGAGGCGAGAACCCCATTTTGAAGTCGTACGGCTCTCCATCCTTCACCGAAGGAGTTCGGACCTATACGGCGCGGATCAGTAGGCGACTGCGGCCTGCGCGGCTGCTGACATGCAATCGGGAATTGCTGGGGACGTTCCCTCGCACATCATAATCTGTCTCGAGCTCCTGACCTGTGTGAATTGCCAAGACATCCGTCCGATGCTGGCGGGCACATGGACACTCCAGCTCAGGATCGGGATCGGGAGAAGGAGGAGGTGGTGCAGGAGAAGGAGGAGGATAACGATGAGGAGGAAAAGGAGGACGCATCCCCCCGACGTCATGTCTTTTTCACGCAGCGGACCTCCAGAGGTCCAGACTCCTTCCCGGGGACTGTTCTTCTATCCCGGGGTCCTTTTTTGACGGTCCTGGGACCAGAAGGGACCCCGAGGGCCGAGAATGGCCAGAAACCTTTTGTCATGGCTTTTTCACAACGCGAGGGGGTCTGGGGAAGAGGAGGAGGAGGAGGAGGAGGAGGAGGAGGAGGAGGAGGAGGAGGAGGAGGAGGAGGACCAGTGTAAAGCCAAGAGTCATCAACGATGTTGGAATTAACCCTCCCTCCAAGCTCCCTCTTCATAGGTCCCTTCAACGATTCATTTCCATTGGGGGAACTGCCTCGTTTGACGACAACTGTTTGAAGCTACTGAAGCATGCCAAAACATTGTTACTTGGATTTCAACGCCACTTATCAACCCGACTGTTGCGTCTTGACGATCCGAAATCGTGCCAAACCGCCATTTTTGGGATGCTAACACCGCGAACTAACACAACTGCTGCACCCGCATATTCCGGAATCCTGCCACAACATTATTTTGGTATGTGGCTATGGGGATCCGTGAAGCTCTTGCAAATTGTTAAAACGACTGTGCGGGGCGCTGAAGCGAGAACCACATTTTGCAAAGGAGCCGCCCGCAATCCGTGAAGCCCTTGCAACTATTGAAGACGACTGTGCGCGGCGCTTAGGCGAGAACGCATTTTGGAAACCACCCGCCCTCAATCTGTGAAACTCTTGCATATTGTTAAAAACGAATGTGCGCGGCGCTAAGGCGAGAACCACATTTTGAAAACGACCCACCCTCAATCCGTGAAGCTCCTGCAAATGTTTACAGCGAATGTGCGCGGCGCTAGAGCGAGAACCATATGTTGAAAACGACCCGCCCTCAATCCGTGAAACTCTTGTATTTGTTTAAACGACTGTGCGCGGTGCTCATGCGAGAACCACATTTTGAAAACGACCCGCCCTCAATCCGTGAAACTCTTGCAAATGTTTAAAACGACTTTACGCGGCGCTAAGGCGAGAACCACATTTGGGGAACGACCCGCCCTCAATCCTTGAAAAGAGCCACATTTGGAAAACCACCCGCCCTCCATCTGTGAAGCTGTTGCCCTTACCAAAAACATCATACTCATAAATGGTGAGGAAGTCTCAGGCGAAGCGCCCGACCCGCCATGGTCTCGGGGTGCGACAGGGAAAAGTTCTCTACAATGAGATAGAATGGAGGAGGAGGAGGAGGAGGAGGAGGAGGAGGAGGAGGAGGAGGAGGAAGATAATGATGATGATGATGATGATGAGGAGGAGGAGGAGGGGAAGGCGGGGCAAGCACATGGGAAGACGCGCATGGTTCGGATTCGGACATGGAAGATGGGAGGTTGGAAAAGGCGGACACTACTATCTATGACAAAAACAGACCTAGCCAACGCGTTTGCAGGGAGGACGAGAAGGAGGAGAAGGAGAAGGAGGAGAAGGATGAGGAGGACGAAGGGAAGGAGGAGAAATAGGAGGAATGGGAGGAGGAGGCGGAGGAGGAGGAAGAGGAGGAGGAGGAGGAGGAGGAGGAGGAGGAAAGGAGGAGGAAAGGAGGAGTGGAAGAAGGAGGAGGGAGGAGGAGGAGAGGAGCAGGGGGGAGAGGATGACGAGGAAGAGGAGGAGGAGGAGAAGGAGGAGGGAAGAACCAGGAAGAGGATGGACCGAGGAGGAGGAAAGAGGAAGGAGGAGGAGGAGGAGGAATAGATGCGGGTGAGGACGGAGGCGAGGAGGAGGAGGAGGAGGAGGAGGAGGAGGAGGAGAGGAGAAGGAGGAGGAGGAGGAGGAGGAGGAGGAGGAGGAGGAGGAGGAGGAGAAGGACGGAGGAGGACGAGGATGGAGAGCGAGGAGGAGGAGGAGGAGGAGGAGGGGGAGGAGGAGGAGGGGGAGGAGGAGGAGGAGGAGGAGGAGGAGGAGGAGGAGGGAAAGGGGGAGGAGGATGATGGTGAGGAGGAGGACGAGGAGCAGGAAGAGGAGGAGGAGGAGGACGAGGAAGTTGAGGAGTTGGAGGAGGAGGAGCAGCAGCAACGATCACATGGGAATCCGCGCCTACTTTGGGTTCGTAAATGGAGAGGTGGGCACCACACTCGATCGCAATGCATGGACCTAACCAGTGCGCTTAAACTCAGTGAGGAGGGGAACAACGAAACTGTGAAGAAAGAGAAATAGGAGGATAACGAGGAATAGACGGTGCAGGAGGACGAGGAGGAAAAGGAGGTGGACGAATAATAGGAGGAGCAGGAGGAGGAGAAGGATAATGATGATGAAGATACTGAGGTGCAGTTGGATGAGGAAGACGAAGAGGAGGATAACAACGAGGAGAACGCGAAGGAAGAGGAGGGGGAGGAGGAGGAGAAGGAGGAGGAGGAGGAGGAGGTGGAGGAGGAGGCGGACGAGGAGGAGGAGGAGGACGAGGAAGAGGAGGATGAGGAGGAGGAGGAGGAGGAGGCGGAGGAACAGGAGAAGAAAGAGGAGGGGACATGATGATGATGATTATGAGGAGGAGGAGGATGAGGAGGACAGGAGGAGGAGGAGGAGGAGGAGGAGGAGAAGAGAGTAGAGGGAGAAGGAGAAGAAGCAGAGGCAGGAGGATGAGGCAGAGAAGGAGTATGAAGGAGGAGGAGGAGGACGAGGAGGAGGAGGAGGAGAAACGGAGAAGAAAGAGGAGGGACATGACGAGGAGGAGGAGGAGGAGGAGGAGGAGGAGGAGGAGAAGGAGAGATAGAGGGAGAAGGCGGAAGAAGCAGAGGATGAGGATGAGGCAGAGAAGGAGTATGAAGGATGAGGAGGAGGACGAGGAGGAGGAGGAGGACGAGGAGGAGGAGGAGGACGAAGAGGAGGAGGAGGATGAGGAGGAGGAGAGGACGGACCGGAGGAGGAGGAAGAGGAAGAAGGGGAGGAGGCAGATGAGTAGGAGGTGGAGGAGGCGGCAGCGGAAGAAGAGGAGGAGGAGGAGGAGGAGGAGAAGGAGGAAGAGGAGGGCGACGCGGAGGAGAAGGAGGAGGTAGAGAAGGAGGAAGAGGAAAAATAAGACGAGAAGGCGGATGAAGAGGAGGAAGAGGAGGGAGAGGAGTGCGAGACGATGAGGGAGATACGTAGGATGATGCTGATGATGCTGATGGTGTTGAAGATGATAATGCTGATGATGATGATGATGATGATGATGATGATGATGATGATGATGATGATGATGATGATGATGATGATGATGATGATGATGCGGAGGAGGAGGGAGGAGGAGGAGGAGGAGGAGAAGGAGGAGG